AAAACAAAAAACAAAAAACAAAAAAAAAAAAACATAGAGTCACCAGAAGAAAAGAAATAATAAAGATTCAAGCAGAAATAAATGAAACAGAAAATAAAAAGACAACAGAAAAAATCAGCAAGACTAGCAACTGGTTTTTTGAAAAGATTAATCAAATTGACAAACCACTGACAAATTTAACAAAGGAAAGGAGGGAGAGAATACAAATAACACGAATAAGAAATAAATTGGGTGATGTCACAATGAACTAACAGAAATTAGAAGGATAATATCTGAATATTATGATGAACTATACTTCAACAAATTTGAAAATGTAGAAGAAATGGACAGATTTCTAAAAACATACTACTTAACTAAACTAATACAGACTGAGGTGGAAAATTTGCACAGACCCATAGTAAAAGAAGAAATTGAACAGGTCATGAAAAAATTACCAATGAAAAAAAAAAGCTCTGGCCCAGAAAGTTTCACTGGAGAATCCTACCGAACATTCAGAGAAGAACTGACACCAATTCTACTCAACCTATTCCAGATCTTAGAAAAGGATGGAATCCTCCCAAATTCATTTTATGAAGCAAGCATAACCTGATACCAAAACCAGGCAAGGCATCACTCAAAAGGAAAACTACAGACCAATATCTCTCATGAATATAGATGTAAAAATCTTCAACAAAATCCTAGCCAATGACTCCAACAACATATCAAAAAAAATAATACATTATGACCGAGAGGGGTTCATACCAGGTATGCAAGATGGTTCAATGTTAAAAAAAATTAACATCATCCATCACATAAATAAAACAAAGGAAATGAACCATACGATCTTATCAATCGATGTAGAAAAGACATTTGATAAAATCCAACACCCATTCCTGATAAAAACTCTCAGCAAAATAGGCATAGAAGGGATATTCATCAACGTAATAAAGGGCATATATGCAAAAGCAACAGCCAACATTATTCTCAATGGAGAGAGATGGAAACCATTGCCCTTGTAGAAGGATGCCCTCTATCACCACTTCTATCTGACATTGTAGTAGAAGTCCTAGCCAGGGCAATAAGACAAGAAAGAGAAATCAAAGGCATCTAAATTGGTAAGGAAGAAGTAAAACTATCCCTATGTGCTGATGATATGATCCTATACATAGAAAACTCAAGAGACTCAGCAAAAAAACTACTGGAATGAGTTGAGAGATTTAGTATAATGGCAGGATACAGGATCAACATACAAAAATCAATTGGGTTCTCTACACTAGCAAAAAGATTGCTGAAAAAGAAATAAGGAAATTAATACAATTTACAATAGCTACCAAAAAAATAAGATGCTTGGGAATAGATCTCACTAGGGACACAAAAGACCTGTAGAAAGAAAACTACAAAATACTACTTGAGGAAACCATAAGAGATCTGCATAAATGGAAGAACATTATTGCTCATGGATAGGAAGATTGAACATTGTGAAAATGTTGATACTACCCAAAGCAATCTATACATTCAATGCAATCCCAATCTAGATCCCATCAACATTCTTTAAGGATATGGAAAAACCAATCACTAGTTTTATATGGAAAGGAAAGAGGCCTCGGATAAGTGATTGAAGAACAACAAAGTAGGAGGTCTCACACTCTCAAATATCAAAATCTACAATACAGATACAGTAGTAAAACAATCTGGTATTGGTACAATGACAAACATAGACCAGTGGAACAGAATTGAGAACCCAGAAATAGATCCATCGATCTATGGTCAGCTGATCTTTGACAAAGGGCTGAAATTCATTAAATGGGGGAAGAGGTGTTCTCTTTAACAAATGGTGCTGATAAAACTGGATATCCATTTGCAGAAAAATGAAATAAGATCCATACCTCACACCATACACAAAAACTAACTCCAGATGGATAAAAGACTTAAATGTGAAACCTAAAACTATAAAGTTCCTCAAGGAAAAACCAGGGGCAAATTTAGGGGCCCTAATTTATGGCATGAATAGACTGTCAAGCATAACCCCAAATGCACAAACAGCAGAAGAGAAACTAGATGAATAGGATCTTTTCAAAATTAAATTTTTATGTACTTTCAAAGACTTCTCCAAAAGAGTAAAAAGAGAACCTATAGACTGGGGAAAAGTATTAGGCAATGACATATCTGATTTAGCTCTAGAATTTATAGAGAACTCCAACACCTCAACAACAAAAAGAGAAACAATCCAATTAAAACATGGGCAGAAGACATGACTGTCCTCACCAAAGAGGATATTCAGGCAGCCAACAAACACATGAAGAAATGTTGACAATCATTAACCATTAAAGAGATGCAAATCAAAACAACAAGGAGATACCATCTTGCCCCAGCACTAATAGCAAAGTTCAATAAGACAGAATGTAACAAATGCTGGCAAGGATGTGGAGAGACTGGGACTCTCATACACTGCTGGTGGAACTGTAAAATGATACAACCACTGTGGAAGGCAGTATGGTGATTTCTTAAAAAGTTGGAATTAGAAATACCATTATATCCAGCAATCCCATTACTAGGTATATATCCTAAAGAAGTGAGAGCCAGGGCAAGAACAGATATATATGCATACCCATGTTCATTGCAGCACTATTTACAATAGCAAAAAATGGAAACAACCTAGATGCCCATCAACAGAAAAATGGATGAACAAAGTATAGTACATACACACAATGGAATATTGTGCAATACCAAAGCATAATGTAGAATCTGCAAAACACCATATAACATGGATGAACTTGGAGGACATTATGCTGAGTAAAATAAGTCAATCACAGAAGGACAAATATTGTATTTGTTCATTATTGTAAAAAGTTAAGGAAAGGTTTATATGTGGAAGAAAATTTTCTTTGTTGGTTATCAGGTGTGGGAAGGGAGGGAACACTACAAAAATTAAAAAACAAAAACAAGAAAACCTATTCCAAGGGGCCATAGCCTTAAGATATCCTTTGGAATGTACAGAGAAATATAAAAGAAATTGGTTCTTCTTTATTTGTAGGAAACGGAGATGGACATAAATACAAGCATTGATATTTGAACATGTTCAAAGTTACACAGCAAGCCCTAAACAAGAGGCATGCATGCTCCAAGCTCACTGCAGTCATGTTGGTTCCGATTCATAGTGACTCTTCCTTTGGTTTACGAGGCAGTATCTCTATGGAAGTAGATTGCCCAGTCTTCCTTCAGAGAAGTGGCTGGTGGGTGTGAACCACCAGCTTTCTGGTTAGCAGTCAAATGCCTAGGCACTACACCACCAGAGCTCCTATGCTGGGGACCAGGAAGAAGAGGGGTGGAGTGGGCAAAATTAGTCAGGGCTTAGTAACTATTGGTTGGGTGCTGCTGAATGAAGTAAGGTGGACAAAGAGGGTTTGAATCTGGATGTTGAGGGAAGCAATTCTCTGAGCAAACACTGAATGAGTTCCTCTCTGTACTGGCAGGCACTAGGTTCCCAGAGATTAAAAACAGCCCTTATGTCAGAGGTAAGTGCAAAGTCTAAGGGGCAAAGGACTGGGAAGCTTGAGCTGAGTATGGCTGTAAAAATGTACTCAAGTCTTAGGAACACCATGTGCAAAGTCTCCCAATCCAATCTGCAATAATGACCCCACACTATTCCCCTAGTCTCAGTCCCCTCACCTGTCTCACCAGTCTACGTGGGTTGCCAATGACTATGCCAATGCTATTCTCTCTGCGAGTGGCTGCAAAAGCCAGAGTCAGCAGTGCTCAGGGAGGTGAGGGGGGAGGGGTCTCCTGAAGCCCATCCTACATTTGGCCCTGTGCCCCACACTTCCAAACTTTTCTCAGGTGCACTGTCAGGTCTGGCTCGTAGCACCTAATCATAGTGGCTCTCATCTTGCTCAGGCAGTTTGTTCTAGCACTAAGTCTAAGCACTAAGTTCCAGTACCAAGAAGCTTTAAGCAGTGCCATCATATTAATGATATTTTATTTTTAAAAAGGAAAATTGTAATTATAATTTTAAAATGTATGTATCATCCACATTTCAATTCTTTTCTCTAGGAACTTTAATTCCCAAAGTGGCTGAATATAAATGGACAGGAAGGGGTACTATGGACACAGAAGTGAATGAGAGGAACTGACCGATGGTGTCTTTATTCTAGAATCAGGTATGGGTTGAGAGCTTTTCCGCGCAGATTCTTCATCTCTTCGAGCACCTTTTCTCCTGCCTTTTCAGGTAGTAGTGCTTGGTCTTTCACCTCTCTAAATAGCAAAAAACCGACAATAAACACGAGAGCAATTAATAAAATGCTCGGGACACTCACCAATGCTTGTCTGCTGGTCCCAGCACTGCCTGTGATATTCAGTGAAGTGTGGTGTCGATTTTATAAAAAAAAGTTTTAAACTATAATTACAGTGAAAAAATTTAGTTTACAAGTAACGCAAACCAGATTCTTAGCATGGATAAGTAACCTAACCTTTTAGATTCTGTTTCCTGATGTATCAGGAAAATAAAAAAAGCCCCAATAAATCAGTTGCTGTCATGTTGATTCTAATTGATGGTAACTCCATGTGTGTCAGAGTAGAATTGTGCTCCATCAGGTTTTCAATGGCTGATTTTTCATTTTTCATTGACAGGTCTTTCTTCTAAGGTACCTCAAAGTGGATTTGAACTGCTGACCTTTTGGTTAGTAGCTGCCTGCTTAACCATTTGCACTACCCAGGGACTGATGTATAAAACCAAAAACTCAAACCCATTGCCATTGAGTTGATTCTGACTCATAGTCACCCCCATTGGGTGTCCAAAGCTGTAAATCTTTACAGAAGTAGACTGCCTCATCTTCCTCCCACAGAGCTGCTGGTGGGTTTGAACCACTGACCTTCTGGTTAACAGTCAAATATCTTAGCCACTCTGCCACCAGAGCTCCATTACTGATGTATAAAGGACAATAATTTCTATTTGTCCTTCTATTTGTGAAGGTAAAATGAGAACTCATTCACAGGGATTTAGAAGCATGTTGTTTTCTAAATGCATCAATTAGCATTAGTTGATTTTCCATCTTTATAATGGGAGCTCTGGTAGTGTAATGCCTAAGGCACTAGACTGCTAACCAGAAAGCTGGCAGTTCAAACCCACTCCTCGGAAGGAAGGTTGGGCAATCTACTTTCGTAGTGATACCACCTTGGAAACCTAAGGAGGGGTCGCTATGAGTCAGGGCTGACTCGGCGGCACATTACAACAACAACAACATATATAAAATAGACACAATATCTTTGACTCTGACAATGACTACAGAACAGTGGGACTGAGTGGGAGTGCTATGCCTCTGGATTGCTGAGTATGCAAGGGTGCTGTTTGGTAGAAATTCAAACTAATGTGGTGTGAAATGAGGCTGCCAATTAAGGGGTGAGAGCAATTGGAGGATGAGAGGTGGGAAGCATCTGGACTTTTGAGGGGCAACTAATCTCTTGTTGGGCTTGGGCCAAGGGTTAAGATGAAGATAGAGAAATTGTTGTCATATTTACTATCATTCAAATATCTAAGAGGAAATGAATGTATTTGTTTCAAAGGACAGATGTCTTATTGTGAGCTCAGCTATATGATATGTCTTGTAGAGTAGATAGAAGAATATAACATAAAATTGCATGCTTCTATTAGTGGTTACTGGGAGTAGGAGCGAGGGGGAAAGAGGGAACTTTTTCTTAGGGATCATTGAGTTTATGTTAATGGTGGTGGAATAATTTGGAAAAAAAATAGAACATTTGCACAACATGAAGAATATCAATGTCATTGAATTATATATGTAGAAATTGTTGAATTGCTGTATGTTGTGTTGTGTATATTTTCAACACAATAAAATAAAATAAAACAAAAAAAAAAACAACAAATTTCATGCTTCTGGAACATTTTCTAAGGAGGATGAAACATGAAGTCTTAGCAAATACCTGACAGTTTTGGAAAACCAGAAATATCTGAAAATATTGAGTTAAAATGTTCCTTGTTATGAGCAAATAAAATAAAACTGGTTAGCACCACTTTATAGGATCATGTCTAAAATATATATAGGTCATGTGTCCTCTTAAAGATATTAATGAATAAGAGAGACTATGATAATGTAAAATGTGTTGAATGTTGTGTTAGCAATTAATTAAAAGCAATCTGTTTCTTAGACATTTAGGACTTTTAATAACATAACTACTCCTGATGAGTTTTGAAAGGGCTGACATCTTTCTTGAGGCAGCAAGGAATTTCTTGGATTAATTACAGCTGTCAAGGGAAAGGAGATGATTCTTTGCATCTGCAAAAATAAATGTTTGCCAGACACCAAATGGATAGCTGTTTTCATTGGGGAATTAAACACCATGTATATGTTGTTTTCTTCTGCTCCTGAATATTTAACTTCTGGCTGCTGTGTCTCTGATGGTGGGGATTCTGTTGCCTTCTGCCTGAGGAGGCTGAGGGGGTAAAGAAGAAGGACAAGCAAGGACAAACAAAAGTAAACATAGGCTAATGCTTGTTATTAGTTGAAGAGAATTTTAGAATGAAGTAACCTATGAAAATAGTCTGTAGGATATCAATCTGTTAGAATACTTTGCAGCCAGTAAAATGATAATTATGTTGACAATTTTGACACATAGAAAACTGTACATAACGTCATTTTAACTGCAAAACAAGTGGACTCAGGGATACGTTGATTGGAAATGTGTGAAATGTATGCATACTTTGAAAAATGGAAAAACATTGGAAGTTAGTTTGGTGTACAGAATATGTATAGAGTTTATTGTGTATTAGTTTATTTTCTTTTTGTGAAGTAGTTGAAATTCATTTTTAAAAAAGAAAAAGAATGACATACCTCTTTGGGTGAATATATAAAGTAACACTTCTATTTCATTTAGTAATAATTTGATAACCACATGGCTAGTTAGGGTTTCTAACTATAGGTTATTTATTATAATAATTGACTTTGTCTTCTCAAGCAGTTCTTTGGAATCTTCTGTTCAGTTCTTTTACCTTGTCATTTCTTCTATTTTCTTTAGCTACTCTCCATTCAAGAGCAAGTTTCAGAGTTTCTTCTGACATCTATTTTGTTTTTTTCTTCCTTTCCTGTCTTTTTAATGACCTTTCGTTTTCTTCATGTATGATGTTCCTTTTTACATTATTATTAAGTTTATTTATTTATTTATTAAAATTTTATTTTGCTTTGGGGGTAAACCTGCAGAGTAAAATTTGTTTTACACTTAACAGTTTGTGTACATTTGATTTCACACATCAATTACCATAACAAACTCTCCACCTGTAGCATCCCTGTGACCACCCCCTCCCTGTGCCCTTCCTAACTATGCACTCCTGTCTGTCCAGCTTTCCCTCCATGTGAATGCTGCCCCTCTGGTGCCCCATGGCCAATTGCTTTAAGGGGGGTATCTCCCTGGAGCAGGTGGATACATCACCCTGGGGTAGGTGTTCTGCATGTAAGTCTTTCTACTAATGGGCTGAGAGCCAATCCATGGAAGTGAGTCCAATCCTAGGCCCAAAGGGTAACCTGGGGCCATCGCCTTGGGGGTTCCATCAAACTCTATCTGACCAGTAATTCTGGTCATTTTTGTGTTTTTTACTTTTGTTTCACATTTTTCCTCCCATTCAATCCAGGATCTCTGGTTTTCATCCCTTTTCGAGTGGTTGGCATTGGTAGCTGGGCACCATCTAGTTCTTCCGGTCTCAGAATCCATCATATCCTTGGACTAATTGTTTCCAGATGCCTTTGATTTTCTTCACTCTTCTTTGCTTCATATGAGAGAAGACAAATAGTTGCATCTTGGATGGTCATTTAGAAGTTTTTAAGACCCCAGTCGCTACTCACCAAAGCAGGTTGTGGAACAAGATTTTTACGTACTACGTTGTGCCAGTTGAGCTTGGTGTCCCCTGAGACTATGGTCCCGAGTCAGCAGGCCTAGTGATTCTCTCTCTCAAGGTGTCTGGTTGTCTCTGAGAAGTTACTCCAACTCTGTCTTCTGTTGTTTCTGTAATGTCTGTGGCTAATTCTGTAGCACAAGTGCATATGTAAGATTATCTTCAGCTAATTCTATCCTTCGTCTAGGGTATATTCCTGTCTGCTGACTCTCACCTGATCTTTTCCCTTGTCTATGCATTTATCTGTGCCCTGGGGTTTGGTGTTAGTGGTAATGTAGTATTGTTCATATACTAGTATTTGACTCTGTCTCTATCTTATGTGCATGTTTCAGTGTCCTACCTTTCCCCAATGTCATCATGCTGGTCACAGACTCTTTCCATATTGTCCCTCCCCTCACTCAAATCAACATTTGACCCTCAGCTAGTTCAAAATTTTCCCTTCCCTCCCCTCCCATCCCTGGTAACCTACAAATTGAGTTTCCTTCCCTAAATAAACTTTTCCTTGACTATTTACAATGGGCTCATACAATATTTGTCCTTCTGTGATTGATTTATTTCACTCAGCATAATGTCCTCCAAATTCATCCACTGTTGTGAGATGATTTGTGTATTCTTCATTATTCTTTAATGTAGCATAGTATTCCATGGTGTGAATGTACCATAGTTTGGTTATCCAATCATCTGCTGATGGGCGTGTAGGTTGTGTCCATCTCTTTGCTACAGTGAATTGTGCTGTGATGAACATGGGTGTGCATGTCTGTTCATGTCCTGTCTCTCATCTCTTTAGGATATATTCCTAGTAATGGAACTACTGGATGAAATGTATCTGTATTTTCAGTTTTTTATGGAAATACCATACCATTTTTCACAATGTTGTACCATTTTGCTATCTCATCAGCAGTGTATGAAAGTTCCAATCTATCCACAACCTTGCCAGCATTTGTTATTTTCTGTCTTGTTGAACTTTGATATTATTGCTGGGGTGAGATATCTCATCGTTTTGATTTGCATATCTCTAATGGCATAGTGCCTAAGGCACTTGACTGCTAACCAGAAGGCTGGAGGTTCAAACCCACCAGCCACTCCTCAGAAGGAGGAGCAATCTACATATGTAGTGATACTGCCTTGGAAACCCAAGGAGGGGATGCTATGAGTTAGGTCTTACCTCATGGCACATAACAACAACAATGGCTAATGGGAGCGCTGGTGGTGTAGTGCCTAAGGCATTTGACTGCTAACTAGAAGGCTGGTGGCTCAAACCTACCAGACACTCCTTGGAAGGAAGATTGGGCAATCTACTTCCTTAGTGATACTGCCTCGGAAACCCAAGGAGGGGTTGCTATGAGTTGGATCC